AATCTTTCCTGTCACTGTTCAGTGGGAGAGAGATGGAGATGGAGGTATGTGTGAGCATGTGCCTATGTGTGTACATTGCCTTACTATGTTTAGGGCTTTTGAATACCCATCTCTTAGCGGAGTTCAGATATTAGGAATGAAAAACTACAGATTTAAACCATAGCAAATTGTGATGGTGGAATGTAGATGGCTGGCCTAAATGCTATATGCCCAGGATTCTCCCACTCTTGAGTGGGAAGTAAAGGAATATAGTCCTTGATGTAGACTGGAATTGGGTGCTACTATTTTATTTTCAAATCCCTAAACTGAAGGTGGAAAAATTAATTCAGGAAGCAGGTAGCGAGAGATGAATTTTTAACATTGGTACATAAATGCTTATCTTCAGGACCACACTGACGTTTCCAACTATGGAAATTTCATTGCTGTCCTGATTCAGATAAGCACCCATGTGCCAACATTACAATAAGAAATAGGGGATAGTTTCAGTATCTATATATTTGTATTGTTTCATGCTATTTTATTCTAAGTCCTCACAAGCTGTATTTTACCCCCTGGGATTTGGCAAATGGCATGAATCTACACAGAAGTGGTGATAGCTTTTCACTATTTGGTAAAATGTCCACGAAAATGGATCTTTATAAAATGATTATATATAAAATTTGCTGTCAACCTTGACCCTATCTTTTAAACAAGATAAATAACTATATCTTTCTCTTTCTTGTTGCCACCAAATCACTTGCTTTCCACATTGTAACTTGGTTATCATCCCTTACTGAGCTGATGAGAGAGTCCAACAATCACCTTTTCTCTTTTTTGTAAGGATTCAATCAAGCTTTGCTTTGGGTAAACTCTTTCACTCTCACAGAAGCTGAGAAATGCTATGCAGGTCTTTCTTGGCACACAATATGTAATCAGACATTTTAAAAGTAGAATTTAATGGAAGTACAATAGTTTATTCTGACTGCTTGATTTGTGCTCTTCAGGGAATCACTGTATAACAATCTGTTCTAGTCCCTGCCCTGCAGGAATATGTAGGTATTTAAATAGCAACACATCCCTCTAAATAATTGCATATAAATATAATCATAAAGATACACAAACAGGCACAATGGTGTCACTAATATTTTATGCAGATGACTGCCTGCAACACACACACTGCCTGAACAATGAAATTGTGGTGCCAAGTAAGTCAAAATGCCTCAAATAGGCACATTTTCTTTAGAAATGAATATGTTTTTTTCTGCTATGGGTAAGCTTTGATATCACCATTTTTGTTTTTGTATTACAAGATGGCCAATCTTCCATCTGTTGCACAAATATTTGCTTTTGTTGCACATTTACATTTTTATTGAGAATAAAATGATGCTCTGGGCAAAAGAAAATAGAACCACTTCATGGCTGTAAGAAAGGTTAGAGGATAACATACTTTGTTGCACACTTTTCTAGGAAAAGAAATAATTTGCTATGTCAGATTATGGGTTGTCTCACGTTATATCTATAATGAGAGACAACCCAGGAGAAATAACAGCAAACAGAGGTTTGTAAGAAATAGTGATTTTATCTACAAAAGAATAGATATTATACATACACGTGTTGTAGGCAGAAGTCAAACAATCAGTAAATTCCAGCAGGGAAGAACACACGGAGAGGGAGAGAGAGAGAGAGAGAGAGAGAGAGAGAGAGAGAGAGAGAGACAGACTCCCTAACAAGGCCTCTTCTTATTATACAGGTTCTTAAAGGGATAACAGCCAAACACCTTGCTGACTCATTCCCATCATTACATCAATGCATCATTGCATCATCGTAACAGCTGGTCAGCTATTAAATCACTACCCTGACATGCTATTCCCACATTTGAGTCAATCTGATAATTCTTTGTCTCTCTGTCTCTGTCTCTGTCTCTGTCTCTCTTCCTTCTTCCCTCTCTTTCTCGCTCTCTTTTTTTGCAGGGAAAGTCGGTAGGGCATGGCTTTTGGAATTCTTTCCAACTGCTTTATCAGCATTGGCCATTAGAAGAATTTCTATTTTCTTCTGTGAAATGAAACATGTTGCAATCTTTCTCTGTGTATATAAATAATTTCTAATCAAAATGATATGCACCTGTTTCCTTTGTGTATGTATGCATATTTGGGTGACAGTCTAATCAGATGGGAGCTTATGTGTTTTATTTGTATGAGTGTGTCTTTGTGCTTCTGTTGTGTTTCTATATTTGTGTATGTTGTGCCCTGAGAAACACAAGACACACTACATGTGCTCTGGTCTGACTTGTGTGATTAGAAGTGAGGAGAACTTGTCCAACTGCCTCCTTCATAGGAATGAATGGGGAAAAATTTTTTCTGAATGTTTTTCTTCAAAACATTTGAACCAATCCAGACCATTTTTAACCTTGATCTTCCTTTGGCAAGGTTGTCTTACTACACCACGGGTGTCAAACTCGATCACATCATGTGATGTATCATGACGTGTTTTTTTTTTTTTGCCTTTGCAGAGCCAGGGTAGGCATGGCCTGCACGTGATGCATCTGGCCCATGGACCACCAGTTTGACAGGCCTGTAGTAGACCAATCATTTGTCTCTTCTGTTGAGATTTCAGGGAATTATCCAGATAATAGAAAGTGTGTTTCCATCTCCTTTATGCAATTACCTTATGGCATTTAGTTGGATAAGAAAAAAAAAAAAAAGCAAAGGAAAACAAAGATGCAAAGTAGTTAAGTTAAATGCAGTAATCTTAAAATCAAGAATACTATTGGATGTCATTTACATATTTTGCTCATGCAAGCCATTTTAACACAATAGAAAATAATTGAGTAGCATATTATAGTAATAGCTCCATGAAGGCTTTAAAAAATCCAATACATTTTAAATTATACTCTTTGTTTTTCCAATCAGATGTCTTTTTAACTCCAAACTCTTATAGATAGATATATCTATCCATAGATAGTTATTATGTATACATATCCAGAAGAAGATTACAGGTTGTCCTTGACTTACGATTGGTTGCTTAAAAACTATTTGAAGTTATGTTGTACTGAAAAAAGACTTACTTATGATCTGTCCTTGAAGTTACAACTGCCACAGTGGGAACTGGGTCACATTTATGACTTTTTCCAGCATACAATAATGTTTTGTGAAATTTTTGTTTTGCCATTTTCCAACAAAAAATGCACATTGGATAAGCTGGATTCAGACTTATGATGTGATTAGTTTTATGAGTGCAGTGACTTATTTGATGACCAGCATCAAAAAAGTTTTAAAGTTCAGTCTGGTCTGGTGGTGACTTGACTTAAGACTTAAGACACAATGACTTACAACCACAACTCTGGGCTCAATTGTGGTCGTAGGTTGATAACTACCTGTCCCTTGATGGAAATATGGAAGAATGGTTACCTAAGCAAATGAGGCCTGGGGCATTTTTTTTTAAAGTCCCGAGAAACCTATTTGGAGGCAGCTCAGGTAGACACTCCCTGATTCCCTGGAGAATAAGAAGGGGGAGGAGATACAATCAGCCTTCCGTTATTGCAGCCAAATTCAATAAAAGTAGCTCTAGTCTTTCATTGAGTTTTTTTGGTCTGGTCTGGTCTAATCTACCTGGTGGGTATTTGATCAGACAGAGTGCTATTGCAGAGCCTGCTCACAGCATTTCTATTCCCATTTTAACCTGCTTTGATATCTATGTCTGAGCCTGATGGCAAAAATGCAATGTAGAGATCATCTGCCTAGAAAAGACTTCTTACAATCCCATGTTTCCTATGAAATAAAACAGAGGATATTACACAATTGATTTAAGTTGTACTTTGAGATTATTTGAGCCTTGATCCAGACCCTGAAACGTCCAATTTGGGAGATTTGCATGATATATGTTTATAAAATCTGCTACGTGTGGTGTATGAAGCCACTGCGTATATAGCAACTTTCAAGTTCTGATCTAATCAAATAAGCCCATTCATTCATCTTTGCTCCTTGTACAAAACTGTTGTATAATTAAATGCTGTTTCCTCCCTCCCTCTCTCCCCACCATACTTTTTCTTTTTTTTTCATTTTGTGCCATGTTTTATAGATTGTAACAACTTGCCGTTATTGATTTTGTGTTGGCCATTTTGAGAACATTGGCAGCTGAAGAGCAGGGTAAAAATGTTATACAGAAATAATAAGTCCCCTTAGGGACTTTCTGCATGTAAAATCTTCCTTCGTGTGATCATTTTCATACCAGTTAGACTTTTCAGCACTACTGCATACAGCACTTGCTGTTTATAATCAGAATTTTGCCTCACCAAAATAGGGTCTATCTGATTTTCTTTTCCTTTACAGCTGTATAATACATATATGCCTAACATAAGAAATGCAGTCACAAAAGTGTAGGCAATTGGCCCAAAAATAATTGGTATCATCTATTTGAAAATAAAGGAAAGATTTCAAATGAAATAGAAAATTAGTTGTGGTCAAGTAAGAGTAAACGAGAATGCTTTGTTTATATGCTTGATCACTTATTGTCCGTTCTGGTTTTGCTCTCTTGTTTTTTTAGATTAAAGAAACGATAAGAATAGCTTGAGTTTTCCCCCACATATAAATTCAACTTCACTTTTTTCTTAAGTATCCTTTTTAACATTCAATAGGATTAACATCTTCATGAAATTATGCATGAGGTTAAGCATTCAGGAGTCACTATGAATGATCACTATAGCTAGCAAGCTACACAATTGTATTGAAATTTGGCAACCTTATGGCGAGAACTAGTCAATCATTCCAGCAAAACAATACTGATTCTATGCAATTGTAGTTAGTATCTGAAGACACAAGCTAGTATAATTAGGTTTAGGACAACTACTGAATGTTGCTTTAATGTTTTGGAGAAATTATTATGTCAGATTGCTTATCTGTAGGATGATTAAGAAATTATCAGAATATATCAAGCTGGAATATAGTTACTGGGGAACATAGGAAAACCTGCAGAATCAGACCAAAAATTCATCCAGTCTATCGTTCTATTTCTACTCTAACCAGAGAGATGCCAATGGAAAATCTAATAGTCTTCTGGTGGAGACCTGGAAAATGGAGAAAATGAGCAGCAGGGACCAAAGGACTAGTGAGTCGATTGGATAAGAACCTCTATGGAAAAGGTGAGCATGGGAGATTATTCACATGTGCTCTGGGTGGGTGCTGTTTGTGAAGAGATTGTAGGGCAACAATCTCCCATGGGTTTGATTGCGAGAAGATGAAGGGACCAATCATCAGGTTCACAACCATAGCAGAGCCTTTTAAAAAACATTAAGTTTGCTATTATTGCTGCTAATTGTTTTTGGTAATTACTTATCTAACCATTTAAATTTTTTTTAGAGATCTTCAGAATAACAAGTCTGAAAAGCCACCTGATGAGTCTATCTTCATTTTCTGAACAAAATAAACATTAACTATAAGTTTAACAATGCAAAGAATTTTTAATAAAGTGAAAAAAAGTGAAACAAGTTCTTCAAAAAATGGCAGCAGAAATTGATAGCCACAATATCAACAATATCAGTAACAATGACTGCTTCTGTGGATAGACTATGTTTAAAGGATGTTAATGAAACAAATCTTGCTTGATGCAGAAATACTAGTATGAGAAAAATTGGATTTAAGAAAAAGTGTAATTACAAGTCAGAGAAGGTATTTAAAGTGTAAATATAAGTGATAGGCCAAGAGAATGACCCAGACAAAGATTCTACTGGATATACAAAAGAAGCTGGCTGAAGTTTTAAAAATGAAAGGGGAAATATAAATGATAAGCCAAGAGAATGACCTTGAGAATGTCTTTTTATTGGATTTACAAAAAATAAAGCTTGCTAAAGACTCAAAGTTTCTGCAATGGGATATAGAAGTATTGAAGAGAGATAAAATCCTATGACAATATTTGAATGAATTGAAATTAAAATTTTAAGAAGTAAAAGGAAGAAATATAAAGTTGTTTTAAATAAAATAAAATATTTTATTTAAATAATATTTTATGAAATTCTAGAAGTCCTTTACAGAGTTTTTGTGAACACCAGGATTAAAAAGTTGATATCTTGTGAATTTCTTATAGATAAGGCATGGGTTTTGGAAAGAGATATTTGTTTCTAATCTTGTAGAGGTTGAGGGGCTATCAAACTTGCTTATACTTCTTGTGAAGTTTGGAAATCTCTTCATTCTATATTTCTTTCTTCCTTTATTTTCCTTTCCCCTTTTTTCTTTTTTCCCTTCTCCTTTGTTTGCACTTTTTATGGCCTGTTTTTTACTTTATTTTCTTTCTCTCACTTTAATTTGTACTAGGTTTATTATTCTATACTGTAATTAAAATCTTCAATACTCTTTTTTTAAAAAACCCTTCTTACTCCTATATATGTTATGTGCCTTCTCAATCTTGGATCTTCTACAAAAGGCCTTGGAGTTTGAGCGTTCTGCACAATATTTTAGCACAGGAACAGAGAGCTCTGATGGAGCCACTCTCTCAGTTTAGGAGTCACAGTCATGATTGCTCCTACTACTACTGAGATCACTATGGCCTTTACTTTCCACATTATCTCTAGTTCCTCTATTAGGCCCTGCTACTTCTCCAGCTTCTTATATTCTTTCTTCCTGGTGTTGCTGTCTGTTGGCAGGGTGTTGGCTGCATGCTCGCTGTCTGCATCTGGAAATTCAGACCTTAGTTTTTATGCATATTTGAAAGCTCTTGAATTCTTCTTTTCCTTCTTTGCTTAGGTTATTACTGAGCTTCCTAATAGAAAATAATTACATCAATATGTGGCAAGTTAGTACATGTGTGGGTGTGGGTATGCGTACCTATTCTGTACACCTATAACAGATGAACTCATTCTAAGATAGTTCCAATAATATTATGAAAAAAAGAAAAACCAAGAGAGATTACAGGTAGTTCTCAATTTACAAGCACAATTGAGCCCAAAATTTCTGTTAAGTGAGACATTTATGGAGTGAATTTTGCCCCATTTTACAATTTTTCTTGCCTCAATTCATAAGTTAGTAACCCACTTGTTAAGTGAATCCAGCTTCCCCATTGATTTTGCTTGTCAGAAGGTTGCAAAAGGTGATCACATGATCTTGGGACACTGCAATGGTCATAAGTATGAACCAGTTGTCAAGAATCTGCATGTTGATCACATGTTCATGGGAATGCTGCAAAGGTTGCAACTGTGAAAAATGGTCCTAAGTGACTTTTCTCAGTGCTGTTGTAACTTTGAACAGTCACTAAACGAACTGTTGTAAATCGAGAACTATCCGTACTAGAAGACCTAAGTTAGTCCCATACTGTACAGTCTAAAGTTTTGATCATTCATTTTAAAAAAAATTCGTTGTTCGTTTTTTATCATATTGCAGTGAGTTATGGCTCATAAGGGGGCAGCCATATAAGGATGAATGGATAAATAAATAAACTAAAGTGATGCTCCAGAATGATGAGAAAATGTCTTCCCTACTTTTGATCATTATTGACTAAAAAGTGCAAGTAGATACATGGTTAGAAAATGTCCTTGAATATTAGAAATGAGCTCCAGAACTGTCACATAATCTACTTTCTGCTGAATCTGCCCTGTTCAAAAATATATTAATGATTTTGCTCACTAAATCAGTAGGGAAATGGCAAGCTGTCCTATAACAGAGGTTAAAGCTTCGATACCTGCAATTTTGAAAGTGGCAGGAAGGAGACTTTTGTTCCTTGGCCCAACCCCACTTTGCCCCTAAAATTATTATTGAAAACTGAGCTGTCACGATTACTTAATGTTCTCAATTTTGAAGACCAAGGCCTACTTTATATACTATTCATCAATTTCATTTTGCTTATGGTAAGCAAACTTATCCAATAGCATTTTTTCTAAGAAAAAAGATGTAGCTAAAACATACTTTTTTCTATCCTGGAATATTGTCTATATACACCAGTTTGCAATACGCTAAATAAATACATATATAGCACTTGATTGTGGGTTAGACTGAAAGTCTGTTTTTAATGTTCTGGGACTAATTCCTTACAGGGTTTAGAATGATGCTCCATAATTTACAAATGATCATGGCATTTGGCAAATAATGTGTCCGACAGTTTGCAGACATTTCATTAGGTGCCTCCTGCTTCATGGATGGCTAGGGAATTCTGGGAGTTGAGGTCCACACAGCTTAAAGTTGCTGAGATTGGGGAAAAAACTGATTTAAAGTATTCCTTCAGAGCCAATGTTCAGAGTATTTGGTGTCGTCTGGATATCCTCCAGATAGAGAATTTAGAAAATTGTGACTTCTTAGACTATGCAATAGTCTTTCGAGAAACTATATCCACTTGTTTGGTTGCATTCTTGTTTTTTTACTTTCGTATTTATATTGCTATCAATGGTACCTCTCTTCCTGAGCACTCCACATAACATCATTAGAACAATCCTATCCAATCATAATGAGTTGCAGCTGGCATGTTGGCAATAATGATAAAATTGAGGAGTAAGCTAATTGCTAAATAAAAATATACTTTTCAATATTATAAAATAGCCAGCCCTGAGAAACTAAGTATTCTTTTAATGTAAAACACATTTAGATTTAATACCTTTCCAGGTATAAAATCAAATACAAACTTGTATGTTCACAAGGTGCATTGTTGACTTGTAAGCAGAACCTGTTCCTCCAGCAACCTTTGGACTGCACTGCAGGTGGTTTAATTGTACTCTGAATAAGTAAAAAAACTCCAATTTACCTTACCAAGATGGGTGAATCCAGCTCTGGTTAAATATTAACATTGTTGTGTTGTTGTTAGTTGCGAAGTTGTGAAGTCCGACCCATTGTGACCCCATGGACAATGTTCCTCCAGGCCTTCCTGTCCTCCATCATCTTCTGGAGTCCATTTAAGCTCACACCTACTATTTCAGTGACTCCATCCAGCCACCTTGGTCTCTGTCGTCCCTTTCTTCTTTTGCCCTCAATCTTTCCCAGCATTAGGTTCTTCTACAGTGAATCCTTCGTTCTCATTAGGTGGCTAAAGTATTTGAGTTTCATCTTCAGGATCTGGCCTTCTAAAGAGCAGTCAGGGTTGATCTCCTCTAGGACTGACTGGTTTGTTTGCCTGGCAGTCCAAGGGACTCGCAGGAGTCTTCTCCAGCACCATAATTCAAAGGCCTCAATTCTTTGGCACTCAGCCTTTCTTATGGTCCAACTTTCACAGCCATATATTGCAACTGAGAAAACTATAGCCTTGACTATTCGCACTTTTGTTGGCAGGGTGATATCTCTGCTTTTTAGTATGCTGTCTAGATTTGCCATAGTTTTCCTCCCCAGGAGCAAGCGTCTTTTAATTTCTTGGCTGCAGTCACCATCTGCGGTGATCAAATATTAACATAATGCTTACTATTTTGTAGATTGGTCACAGATATAAGAATGTGAACATCTGAATATCCTGATAAATGCACACACAGACACACAAAGACATACACACACACATACACACAGAGAGAAAAACTCAGGTGTCATGTTGTCAAGAAAAAGTCAGCATGAGATTGTTCAGCATTCAGCTTTTTACTCAAGTTTGCAGAGATGTAAAAAGGTGGAGGCTTCAAACATTGGATTTTAGTGTTACCTTTTCCCTTCCTTTTAGATACTTTAATATTTTGTAATCTCTTTAAAAGAATGAGACAGTCTGCTCTTCGCATAGTCTCACAATCAGGACATATTAATGGAATCAGGAAGATTAGTCAGGCATTGAACAAAATCACCAACAAAGGCTCAATCTTAACTTTAAATTAAACTTGGTGTAATTTAGCTGATCCAACTGAAATATCTAAGGAATTAATCATGATTTTAGCCCATCTTACATGGTGAACATTCGTTAATTTGAATGGTTTCCATTTACTGCCCTTCGTTTCTTAGACTATAGTTGGAGTACGAGTAGTCCTTGATTTACCATCAAAACTGAGTTCAAAATTTCTGTGGCTAAGCAGGATGATTGTTAAATGAGTTTTGTGCCATTTTATGACCTTTCTTCCCACAGCTGTTAAGTGAATCACTGCAATTGTTAAGTTAGCAACACAGTTGTTAAAGGAATTTGGCTTTCCCATCGATGGCTTGTCAGAAAGTTGCAAAAGATGATCACATAACCCCAGGACACTGCAACAATGATAAATACATGCCAGTTGCCAAGCATCCAAATTTTGATCACATGATCACAGAGATACCTCAATGTTCATAAGTGTGAAAAACGATCATAAATCACTTCTTTCAGTGCTGTTGTAACTTTGAATGGTCACTAAATAAGATAAGTTGAGGACTGTCTGTAAATTGTGTAGGGATTACAGGAAGAATCTAGTCTTACATAGACAATTGAATAATGTTTGGCTATAGAGCTTTCTTAAATTGAAGTTCCAAGTGACTTATCAAATGATTTGGCTATTCCCTAAAGTGGTCTAGCATAGGTTACTAAGAGCCGAGG